AAGTTTGACAGATAAAATGAGGGGCTCGTGGATTTTCCTATGTTTCGAGGGGTGTATCGATTAGCTTGGGACCGAAGAGAGTACCAGAGCTGAGTCAAAATGTTGAGCACGTTTCTTCACGACCTTCTGGTCTTAGAGTTATCTCTATGGTGTTACCAAGCGAAAATCTTTTTACAATTTTCCAAAGGATGCTTAATTGTAAGTAGTTGCTTATTGTTTTGTTTTACATCGATTCATTCATAAACATCCTTCCAAATTGTAGGTGCAGCCACTGAATAAATCGCTGCGAGTCGCCCGAACTACAGGAGATTTTCTTCTCACGTGGAGTCCAAGCGCTAGCAACGAAAAAGCTATGTTACGACCACTTCCCCCGGAGGCTTTTCGAATTCCTCTATGAAATTGATTTGAAACAAATCATTGTTGCAATAAATTATCATACAATAACTAACATTTCACCGCTTAGTTTTTTATTTGTAAATAATGGTTCCGCAGAAACTCGATCGATTTTCGTTGTTTTGTCTTGTTTGTTTTGAACTGATTTGACAGCTTGTTATGGCCAGGCATGGAAAATCATTTGCATTCATTTCATACATTCATTTACATTCATTTACCTTTAACTTTTTTCATCAACAGCATTCCGCAAAATGATGTATAGAACATTTGTAGGTTTTGTTATAAGCTACAAGTTTTGCTCATAACTCAAATCTGTATCTCTTATGCATCACGAACTAGAGCGGGAAGAACTTGTTACTGTTTTTCAGTGAATGTAAAATACATTCACTGAAAAACAATAGTGGCTTCTGTTCGCTCTGCTTCGTCATGCATAAGAGATACGGATTTGACTTGTTAACAAAAGTTGTAGTTAATAACAAAACCTACAAAAGCTCTATACATTATTTTGTGGAATGCTGTTGTATAAAAAAGTTAGAGGCAAATGAATGTAAATGAATGCACGTAATGAATGCAAATGATTTTCCATGCCTGGTTATGGCCACGGCCAATAAGATCAACCCAAATTTTAGATCAGTTTACTCACTAATCGCAAACTCAGTCGCAACATTCCGTATGGTAGCGCTAGTGTTTCTAACGTATTTTAATTTGAATTCTTACACACAATTTTTCGAAAAAAAATTTCAAGCTTGGATGTCTGTTCTCTGTGGTTGTAGGTTAGTTGCGATGTCAATCATACAAGGTCTGGAACAACAAGTAGCTTGCTGGTGTTAGAAGCAAAAATGTTGTAAACATTGCTTAGCAAACGAATGCCGATGTCACGGCAGCACAACATTCCATATTTCGAATAGCAGACGTGTCGTCACAGAAAACAGCTGTTTCGTGTAAAAAGATAAACATTGCAATGAAATACGACCACCACTAGACATTTTCACATTTCACTAAAACCAATAAGCCGGTTGGGCCAGACCTTGTATAGTTGACATCGGGTTAGTTGTAGTTGTAAATAGTAGTTATAAGTAGTCTCCTTTTTCCAATTCAAATCAAACCAATCCCACCAAGGTGGTCATACTTTAAAACAGGCCTGATATGACTAGGACCTGTAAATAATAATTAAAATCTCAAATGTACTAAAGTTGAAAAGACTTTTTTTTTAAACCTTTATTAAGGAGATTTTTAGCCTTTGGCTAGTTCATCTCCACGGTTGAAAAGACGCATCTGTGTCACTTGAAAATTCATGCATGTAAACCACACAAACACAAGAAATAAAGATCATTTAAAGTAAAAAAAAGCCTCAACCTAGGCCTCAACTCATTTCCGCTTCGGACGGCGTGGTGAGCAGGCAGCAGAAGCAGCAATAGCAGCAGTAGGAACATAGAGGTAACTCTAAGACCAGAAGGTCCCGAAGAAACGAGCTCAACTTTTTGGCTCAGCTCTGGTACTATCTTCGGTCCCAAGCTAATCGATTCACCCCTCGAAACATAGGAAAATCCACTAACCCCTCATTTTATGTGTCAAACTTTCATAGCGAATCAAAACAAACATAGTGTAGTACTGGAATTTATACTAGAATGGGGTACGTTAGTCGATTTGCTTGGGACCAATAGGCTAGTCAAGTAGTGAGCCAATTTAAAATCGTTAGTTTCGTATTGATTGTTGGTGCAAGTGATTTTGATCGACTCTCTTCATCAACCCTCCCTTTATAAAAAAAAAAATCTATAAATTTGGTAGGGTAAATTATGGCTTCGGCACCCATTGACTGTTTTCGGCAACCGAAATTGAAACGTTAATTTCGCAGTATTTTCCCATCAAAACTCTTCGCTGAATGTATTAAGCCGATTCCTTAACTTTTCAGCTTCAATCAGATTACATTTTTACGACTGTGCAATCCTGTTAAGCCATATTTTTCTTTAAATTAAATATACACACTACAAAATACGGCTGATTTCGAGTTGCCGATAATAGAACAGCTGGTTAACACGCAGTTCAAATAGAAAGGGTGCCGAAGAAAAAGAGACTGCCGACAATAGTCACACTCACCTGAGAAGTTTGGAGCGTTGTAAAAACATGTTCAACCCGTTTTGCTCAATTCTGTCGATTGGAATGGGTAGAACAGCAAGCAGCAGATAAATGTCAACAAACAAACCTGTCATGTATGTGTGTGACGCTGAGAAATCGCTAATAGAAGTTCGGACGCTGCTTAGACTGACGAGAATACGTAAATTCCCCTATGTAGGCTTAAAGGAAAAAGTTAAGATAATAGATGATCGATCAATTAAAAGAACTAAATGCTTCTTCAAGCTTCCGTTCCGTTTTATCTACGAACGAATCTGTTTGAGAGACGTAAGCCTTGGTGTTGATCCTGATCGTTGGATTTTGTTTGACAACACCACTCAGCGTCTCATATGACTGGAGATGCCACGATTGATTCGACACACCGTGAAACGATATGCCTGGCTGACGGTCGGCTAACGGCAATCCAGTCACCGACAAACCGACATGAATGACCAGTAGAAGTTACTACGAAATATCTACTCAAAGCACACTACTGACATCTGTCCCCATGTTTGCGGAAAACGTTTATTCAAACCACGAACACGTGTGAACAATTTTCGACATGGTTCGTATCTTATCTATTCTAGACAAATTATACTTATCTAGATAAAAAATCCTATGGTTTTGACAGATCGGATCGCTACATATTTGAATCGGCCGTTATAGGTTTTTGAGCAAACGTTGAATTTAAGTTTGAAGTCGGTTTTTCGGTGATATCACGTTATCCCTTGATCAAAGCTGGAATGAACAAATGCCGAAACTACAAAAAACTTCATTAGAGCGATTAGACCGTTAGTCCTCTACGGCTACGAGATGCTCATGGAAGACCAAGGCTCCCTTGCTGTTTTCTGGACGGAATGTGTTGTGTACCATCTACGGTGGAGTATAGATGGAAGACGAAACGTGAAGAAGGCGAATGAACCGTGAATGCTGGGAAAACCATCCATCGTCAACGCTACACAAATCAAGTGACTACGGTGGGCTGGGCACGTCGTATAGGAATGTCGGACGACAACCCGGTTAAAATGACTGGAAGCGAAGAGAGTACAGTGGGAAAGCTGGATCGACCAGATGAAAGGTGATCTGCGGGAGCCTTCGCAGGCAGCTTGGTTGGCAACATGGATCCAGTGGAATGGCGACGACTTATATGTACAGCAAAGGACAACCAGACCTTAGCCCGAATGTTAAGGTAAGTACGTATCGGATATTTCCCGGCTCTTCCGGAGTGAAATGAGTTTCGGAACCATGGTCATTTAAATGTGAAAACCTGTGTGGTTTTATCAATTTATTTCAAATACTCTTACGTTACGAGTTATATTCAGTGTTGATGGAGTATAATTGTTGTAATAATAATAATAATAGCATTGTTGATACTTAAAGCAATATTACACATCTGGGATTTTTATTTTTGTTCGACCATCTCCTAAAAGTTGAGGTGAGAATTTTTACTTCTGTTTTTTTTTCACACTCGCATACGCAGCAAGCACGGACGTGTGTACGTGTTTAGATTTCGTTCATAACAATTCAATATTCTTACGATTAGATATTTTAAGGTGTACTATTCATTTCCGCACTTTGAAGCTTTCTGTTGATTTTGTTAGGTTTTTGTTGTACAATAGGTTTGCTTCCGGATCTGGATACGATCGGTTTGTGTTTGAAGATTTTTGTTTATCTGTCTCACTTTAAAAAAGTGTTAGTTTAGTATATTGCACTATATTTTGTTTTTGTTTTATTTATGCCTTTGTGATCAAAATATGTTCAGGTGTTTGCGAACTTTGCTTCGCATCAGGTTTACCTAAAGTCTTTACGTTCTAGTACAAGGGAGGTAAAGTTTCATCTACACAGGTCATTTTTTTCAATATCAGTTTGCCTAATTTCAACGGAAGCGGTTTACATTTGATTACATGTAGGAGACATTTTTATTATTTTTAATTATTTTGACAGATCATTCTCAAACTTGCATCACTCATTGGAATGATCTTACCTTGTCGACCTTTCCTGACCAGTGGTGCTAGTAAAAGAACTTATTACCATTATTGTCTTCAACGTGTTTCTTTTCCTTTCTTACTTTGTTCAGCAGATTATCTTCTCTATATAGCCTGGTAGTAAAAATGCTCTATGCTTGCTGAAAATTTCTACGTTTTTCTACTAACGCGCTCTAATGGGAAATAGCAGAAAATCTTCTGGCGTGAATTGTTTGATGTAAAAATTTCAGTTTACTATTTTATTTATTTTAGGAACTTGTTTGTTTTTTGTTTTCTTTTTATGACCCAAGCTGAAGTATTCCACGTTGCGGGTTGCGATTTAATTTACCTTCATTATTTTTGTTTTAATTTTAAAAAAGGCACACCCTGAAATATTGAACTAATTTGGTACAGGGAAACGGAAAGAAGAATCGAAGAACGAGATGAAAACATAAGGATAAAGAAAAAAAAAACAAATCTTTGGGAGGGAAGAGTTTCGGTAAAAATTTGAAATAACAACAAAAGCAGAAATTATAATTTTTAAATATATTTTTTCTCTGAGAAAATTATTTATAATTCTTGATTACGGTTGAGTTTTAATTATAAAAAAAAAACTTAAAAAAAGAAAATATATCTTACAATCTACGAGAAGTGGTAGCTCTATTCGCTGAACAGGTTTTTGTTTTAAATATAGATTCATATTTTTGCGCTCATCATATCCATTTTGTTTAGCTACTACTTCCTAAATACATTTTCCAGTAGGGATTCCGTTTTTTTTATGTTTTAGCTTGTTTTTGTATTTTTTATTTTCTTTTGTAGTTCTCTGCAATCAGCATGCGTTTTTCCACGCGCACATTTTTAGAGTAAGTCTATCACACATTTAATAAAATATTTTGCAATAGTTTTAGCAATTCATATTTAACAACTTTTGTTCCACTTAGCTCTCCTACTGATTTAGTCTATGTTCTATTTTTTGTTCCTTTTTCATGTTCAGGATTTTTTTTTGCATCTGTTTCATGTCTCTTCACTTAAATCGCAGCATATTGGATATCGTTTTTGATTCAAACATAAATAATTGCGTCAGAAGTAATCCGTAAGACGAATCCTGGATGTAAGTACAACTTTGTAATAATAACATAACTTAATGAAAAAATTCATTGAATTTTTCTCTTTCCCGTTTAGTAAATTTTGATTTGAATCGTTCAAAACTGAAAACTTCAACCAAAAAAATGAAGAAAACGTGTTTTAATAATCAGACTTACGTCCCTAACAGCGACGTCGTTTCGTAGCAAGAATTTTTGTGCTTACAATTTAAAATTTAGCTATTTTGTGTTCAAGGTTGCTCGGAAAACCTTGATTCCATCTCGAAAAAAAAAAACATCTATCGAATAAGTAACACTACATACTTTTGTATTTTTATTACAAGAATTCCATCTTATCCATTAACGTTTATTCATTTTTTTCCCTTACCGTTATAATCAGCTACTTGTCTACGATAAGGTATTGGTTTGCTTCACCTATTTACAGTGTGGTTGTTTTTTTTTGAAAATTTGTAGAATTTAATTTATTTTAATCGGAAGCAATTTACCGGAAGCAAGCTGTACAGGAAGTAATTTTTTGTTTGTGATTTTAAGTACAATTTTGTTTTTTTTTCGCAGAAAAAAAAAGTCAAATGGTTTTGTTCCAAATAAGGATAGAGATTCGGGTTGTTTCAAGTTATGAGATTCAATACTGCGATCATTGACGTTTCTAGTTTTTAATTAGGTGCTATTGCTTCTTCTCTATTTTACCTTAAATACTTGTTCGTCTTCCATCGAGTGTCCGTGAGTGTGCCTGGTGTGTGAAGTTTGTACAAATTCTTCCCTGGTTTTGCTGTGGAGCAACGCTTGGTAAACGGAAGCGACGCCTTTTTCATAAGTCGATACAGCGACGATAAAAAATGCTTATGCATCACCCCTTGGCACTTGACGAACTGTCACTGTTCATTTGACGACGCCAGAAACCGATCAAAGTGTTAAAGTTTGCTGTGTAATGGAACTTTTCCTTGAACATTTTCGAAAATTTTTGGCTGAATACGGAGAAATGCGATTGTGATTGTGATCCGAAGGACAAGAAAAAGGTAAAGAAATACTTGTACAGGTGTGGAAAACAGTTCAAGACCAACAATTGAAATTGCCTTAACTTCATTTGGTAAACAAACCTTGTAAAGCTATTTTCTCGCGAACCTAAACCACAATCGGGTAGAGGAGAATGTCCCCTACTTGTTCATTATGTTGGTTTGCCTTTGCGGACTTCGGTTCGCGAGAAAATGGCCTTACAAGGTTGGTTTATAAAATGGAGTTAAGGCCATTTCAATTGTTGATCTTGCAGTTAGTCACAAGTAAATTCATCTCCATGGTAACTTACATGTTTTAATTTGTTGGAGCTAATGTGCGACTCTTCAGTTTACCAAGCGTTTTTGCCTACCACAACAATACAGGACAACATATTCAATATAAAAGAATGCATGCGATTCTGTTTGTTTTGTCACAGTTTACCGAACGTTTCGGTGATTTTGATTCTGATCTGGAACTACAACTAAAACAAGTTCTTCGTTAAACAAGGACTCTGTTAAACATTAGTTAAAAAAAAAAGTAATATTATACCCGTTTTGTGTTGCACTAGTATGTATGTTTGATCGCTGAGGAAAAAAAAAACAGAGGTATTTGTAACAGAACTCACTTATATAAATAAACAGTAATATTGCTGCGGTGTGCGTTGTATGGTTCTGTTTTTGTGTGTGTGTGTGTCTGTGTTTGTTTGTCAGTAAACATGGTAGAGTGTCTTTGTTCGCCCTGAGTGAGGTTCGTAAGGTAGAGGTAATTGAGATACGAATATTATAATACAGGAGGTAGTTATCGGTGTAATGAGTATTATAACAGTAAAAACAACCGTTGAGATTCATCATACGCGATGTCCGAAGAGGAGCTTGGAAGCACGTTTGAATAGAACGAAACGAAACGAAGAAATGGTTGCTCACTTGTTGAGGGTGGATTTTAGTATACTTTGTTTGATATCGTATCGGTTTCAATTTGATCGTATTTTGTTTTTGTTTGCGATAAATCGTATAGACTTGTGTGTGTTGGTATACAAGTTCTTTTGCTTTTATGTTTTGCGTATACTAGCAGTTTTTCTTTTCTTTCAGATTTGTTGATATAGATTTCGTATAGATAGGTTTCCAACTGATGCAAAAACGGAAGATATGGAAACGAAAATTCACATTCACTGAACCTATGTTTCGTAGGTTTTGTTCTTCTCAGTATACATTCGTTTTGGGTGTTGGGTTCGTATAACGGTTTTCTTCTTGTTGATAAAATTTCGTATATTTGTGCAGTTAAAAGTCGACAAATCTGTTCTACTACGTTGTGCTTGAATTAAACTCTACGAATAGAAGGGTATAGCGGGATAGCATTTGCGTATACAGAGGTTTGGGGTCTCTGTTGAGGAGATTAGTATACGTTTCATTTCTCTCTATGATAAGTTTAAATAGAACTGGGCGATTTGGTAGTTCCACCTTGGATAGGGACGAAATCCCTCCGATTATCTCATCTTGTACAGAGGAGTACAATCATGTGAATGTGTCTCCACTGGAGGATTTGTATAAGTATTGTTCTGATAAAATTTTAACTTGCACTAACTATCTTGTGAGGTAGACTGACGGATTGTGTCTCAACTGGTTTTGTTTTGTTTGTAAATATGATCTTATCATTACTAAGTAAGTAGTACAATGTGAAATATCTTCTTTTGTTGTAAAAAGGAGTTTTAAATTAAACGTTTCTTTCTTCAATATGAGGTATTTCAAGTTACGGATTGCAGTTTACCTTCGTATAGTGCTTAAACACTTGCCTTGCTTTTCTAAACCCTAGATATTCCTAATGATCGGAACTTAAAAACGAAAAAGAAAAATAACCTGAGGTGTATAACATTCACGAGCTGATTTGTTGCAGTTTTGTTCTCTGTTAGGAGGACGACGACATTCATTGGCGTCTGTTCGCGCTTGGATGGACTTTATACAGTTTCGAGATATTCGAGAGAACAATTATCATACTCACTTAATTAAGGATGGCACAACGAATTTACTCATTTTTCCATGAAATTTGTTCTTATCCGGTTTTCGGTCCGCAGTTCGCGGCCGAAATGGTCGGCAGAAAGAAAAACTAAGTCCTTATGGTAGAGTAAACATACTTGTAGGTAGAGCTGATCTGAATTGAATGACATGTCTGCCTCAGATCTTAATTCTGCTAGAGCGTTGTATATCGTATATGGAACGTATACGACGGGTATCAATGCGTATACTAAGCTTAGTTAGTACCGACTCCTTCGTCATCGGAGTAATTCCGCTCCTCACCGGAGCTGTTTCCGTCGTCGTTTACGTGGTGCTGCGGGCCATCCAGTCCAAGGTCCATCGGTTCTGATGAGTCGCCACGTCGAATCGAATCACTGTTCAGTATCGAGTTGTTGTTCAGATTGTGGTTTCCATTGCCGGCCGCCAGGGAGAGTAGTTTCTGCTGTGCACTGAGCTGGTGGTGACGATCGTTGGAAGCCGGTTCGATCGTAACGTTCGGTGAGGATTGCAGCTTACTTAGCGGATGGTCCGAACCTTGGCTATTCCCGGTGAGCTTGGCGATGTCTAGCTGCGGTGGAAGAAACCCCGGCGGCAGTTGATCCAGATTGTGACCCATGGCTTTGAGTTGGGCGTACTTGGCGGCTTGAATGGCGGCCGCGGCCTGTTCCTGGGTCATTCCACCCATGCCTAAGGAGGAAAAGCAAAACGGGGGGGTCAAGGACAGTTTTATGAGAAATGATAGCTTTCTTAGGATTCGGAAAATTGTTCCCCATAGTCTAGTCCAGTATGTTGCGCTTGGTAATGGCGTCGTGAGAAAGAATGAGTGCCTCTTGCAACGGAGTGAGGATTGCCGCTTCAGCCGGTTGATCTTTACGTCTTGAAGCTAGAGGTAGAATTTTCAACGATTCATATTATTTCTAGAAAAATAACTTATGAACCTTAAAAGAAGCTGTAAAATTTGATACCAAATGTAGCTAATTTTTTTTTATCAAGTTCGTTTATTTGGAAGGCTCAATCGCGTTAGCTTTACGGAGCCGATAATTCATTGTTAAATGTAGCTACCTTAACATCAAAGGCTTATGCCTTGTTCATGCTAAAGAGTTATAACATGTTACAATATAGTTGAAGGCACTTGACGTCAATATCAGACTTAAAATGAACATTTTATACTATAGATGAAATGAAAGTAAAGAGCTGATAGTTCCGTTAAAGTACGGCAGCGTGCAAATTGTATATGCAAAGTAGAAAACGAGTAATTGACAATTTTGAGGAAGGTACGAATCGGGTCGAGCATCCCCTTTATCAAACTCATCCGTTGATGAGGGGTGTTTCCCCTCGCCGCCACTGGCAAAAGGAATGATCGTCGATGTTCACTTTCAGTATCTCCCTCACTATGTAAATCGTTAACTTCATGCATGAAGTAGTAAAAACATGATTAGTTAAAGTATTTTATAATAATAACCGGCAAGAAAAATGTCATCAAGATAGGCAACAGTGTTAAAGAATCATTCTACAATTTCTATAAAGTTCTTTTCAAACTTTCCCAATAATAATCTCTCAGGTTTTGCATTGCAATTTTCTTCACAAAATTCCAGGAATTCTCTCCAGGAAACTATTCAGCTATCCACCCTCGGTAATGGCGGCTTACGCTCGTTTTAAAATGTAGCGTTTACACTAGTTTTTTACACTTACTGACGTTTTACTCTTCCCTTTCCCTCTCCTAGGTACAGAGGAAAATTAAACGACATGTGCTAACCAGTTAGTGTCAAAAACAAAAGCGAACGCTGCATTTTGAAACCCTTGCAAGTCACCATTACCGAGCGTGGAAAACTGGATTGATATTCGTTCTACAAACCTATTCGATTTCTTACTAGTTCGCTTGAATTTCTCCCCATTATTCTTATTAAAATTTCCTTCAGAGCTGTTGTGAAATTCTTGGAGCTTCTTTTCTCATAATTCATGAAATTAACCCCAGCATTAGATCAAGTATACCGTATGCGTGATTATGTTTGCACCATCGTACAAATAAGGTTCCCGTTTCACCTGTGCCTACAATGCCTTGGTTTTCTTTGCATGCACGTAACATAGCTCATACCGTAGTAGGCTGTGTATAAATGAAAATGATTTACTTAGTTTGACAGTTGCACCATGACGAAGTGGCAGCGTATTCGTGATTTGTCCCACGCGTAAATGTCGCAAAAAGACATTTCAATCGCCGTGGAAGTGTCCCGGTGGACCGTCGAAAGGGTTTTAGACCGAGAAAAGAAAGGACAACTATCCGCGAAGGAGGCCACAGGTCGTCCGAGGTCAGCTCGGCTCGGGTTCCGAGGGTTATCGCTGCTATCAAAAGAAAGATTCGGGTGAATCCAGTGCGTTCAATAAGGAAAATGGCAAAGGAACACGGGATCAGTGACTTTACGGCACGGAAGATCGCAAAGGAAGATTGCGGGGCGAATTCGAGAGCACGGAAAAAACTCACAAGATTACCAACCGCATCCGGAAGCTACGAGTCGAACGATACAAGAAAATCTTGACTTCCTTAAGCGAAGAAATCCGGTAATCCTGTTCACCGACAAAAACATGTTTACCGTCGATCCCGTATCAAATTCCAGAACCGACCGGTATATTAGTTCTTTTCCGGTAAAAGACGTGGCCGACGAGCACAAGAACGTGTATTTGACCAAGCATCCTGCTAGCGTTATGGTGTTTGGATTGGTGACTTCCTTTTGTCAAAAAAATGGACCCGGTGTTCATTCCAGAAGGCGACAAGGTCAACACGGAGGTCTACATCGGGATTTTAAGTAAGTATGTTCTTCCGTGGATCAAATAACAGTACGGTCCGAAGTCAAATGTTGTATTTCAACAAGATGGGGCTCCGTGCCACACCTCGAACCGCACTCAGAAGTGGTTGCAGGAACATCTTCCGTTCTGGGCGAAGGATATGTGGCCGCTATCCAGCCCCGATCTTAATCCGCTGGATTACTCAATATGGCGCGTCATGAAGACCAAGGCCTGTTCTAAACGCCACCCGAGTACAGCAAGCCTCAGACAAACATTGACCCGTACCTGGAGAGAAATGGATCCAGACTACATTATTAGAACCTGCCGTGCATTCCGGAAGCGTATGGAGGTCGTAATTGCAGCAAGTGGAAACTCGATCGATGTTTAACATAGCTTAAGGCCGCGGCCAGGGTAGACGCAACACGCGACGCGACGCGATGCGACTCACGCAAGGAATAATAATAAATAATAAGATTCATTTGAATTGGTCGCGTCGCGTCGCGAATCGCGTCTACCCTGGCCGTACCCTAAGACTCTGAGAAACATGCCTTTTTTGAATGAATAAAAAAACTCGAAAACCGAAATTTTTGAAATTTTTTTTTAATTTTGGCATTGCTCAATAGTGCAAACGGTCACCATACGGTGACAAAGGGTTAACGTGGAAGATTTTCATCCTGGGCGGCTGTTTGCTTTTCCTTTAACCTGGACCCAGGTCAAATTCATGTCCAGTTTCTTGATTTCTTTGTTGAGGCTCCACCGTCATGGGTCTGCCTCTGCTGGGTTACAATCCAGCGCTTGCTTGCATATTGCCCTTCGTAGTGTGGCTGACCCACCTCCACTTCCGGTCTCGAATTTATGTGATAGCGACTTCTGATAACATCTACGATGGAGCTCGGTATTTGAGATCCAGTTATGAGGCCACTTCCAGAAATTCCTTAAAATTTCCTTCAGCAATTTTCTTATAATTCTCATCTGAATTGCCCTGGAATTCTGCTTTGAATTACTTTGGGACTATCATCAGAATTAAATTTCCTTGGGATTATCCTTCTAATTTTGAGAGAACTATACTCAGAAACCCTTTTGCAATTATTCTCAGAATTCCTTTCTTGAAACTTACGTAATAATTTGTGTGAAACAATCCTCAGATTTCGATTTCCTTGAAATTCTTCTCGGAATTAACTTGTAGCTATTTTCTGAATTGCCTTCAGTGTTTCTTTGAATTCATTCTCAGAATTACCTTTGAAATCATTCAAGTATTCTCATTAGAAGCCCTTTGGATTTTTTTAGTTAAAATTCATCTGGTAGAATTCCACAATCTCCATCGAATTCTCGTTAGAATCATATTTGAATATTACTCAGAACTCAAACTAGCTCCTAACAGTTTCTTCTGAATTCTTTTTAGAATCACCTTGAAGTTCAAGCTAGAACCAACCGGTGGAAACTAATGATTTTAAATTGACTCACTACTTGACTAGCCCATTGGTTCCAAGCAAATCGATTAACGTATCCCATTCTTGTCGAAATTCTAGTACTACACTATGTTTGTTTTGATTCGCCTTGTAAGTTTGACAGATAAAATGAGGGGCTCGTGGATTTTCCTATGTTTCGAGGGGTGCATCGATTAGCTTGGGACCGAAGAGAGTACCAGAGCTGAGCCAAAAAGTTGAGCACGTTTCTTCGGGACCTTCTGGTCCTAGAGTTACCTCTATGCTAGAACTGCTTTAGAGTTTTCCGCAGAATTCTATAGGAATCCTTTCAAAATTTCTCACAAACTATCACAAGGAGTTCTGTTTGAATTCTCCTCAAATTTCGTTGGGAATTCTCATCATAATCCCTTTGAAAATTCTGACCCGACGGTGTTTTCTAATATATCAGAAGTAAATCAAACATTATGCTAAAAAAACTAGAATCAATTCAAGAAGATCGAAACTGTTTCGTTAAAATTGGTCAATCAACAGAAGCAAGATAAAAAAGATCGAGAAACTAAAGCTTCAATGTGCTTTGTGTGTATCGATCTTCTATTGACATTTCGGCAGGATCGTAGGATGACGCCAAAATTGGCACTCCTGGCACTCACCAATCCGTCATTTCCGAGCGAAAAATATTGGACAAATCACGATTTGCTGTTTGGCAAGCGTATCAGGTCCAAGAAACCTTTTTCGAATACAACATAGAAAGAAGACTGGCAACTCTGCCTAAATCTCAGGAACAAATACAGTAGCGCCACAGTTGAGCCACCGCTTTCTAATTATTTCGGAGCTTTCACTTTCCAGCGATAGATGGCGGGTTGGTATTTGTATAAAAAAAAAGCCACGCATGAGCGGCCAATCTTCTTGATATGTCGTCTTCACATTTCTACAAAGGTCTAGAAGACTTTCTTCCGATGGTCTAAGATATATCCTCCCGAAGATCCTGAAGACCTTCTGTGAAGGTCTCAAAGATCATTTGAAGCTCGATACCCTCAATACCTACCGAAAGCGCTCTCCGTGATGAACTGCAAGTACGTATCCAAGATTGCCGATCCGGTCGGTGTGTTCGGTTGCATCTGGTTCATCCCGCTACTGCTGCCGCCTCCTCCGCTATGGCGATCTCCCATCGACATTCCCGAGCCATTGCCATTGTTGCCACCGTTACCATCGCGACCGTCCATGCCTGACTTTACACCATCCTGGTGCTGTTGCTGCTGCTGCTGTTGCTGTTGCTGCTGTCGAACACGGGTTATGGTCGTGCTCGGATGACTGAATGCTGAAACGTCACCAAACGGAACTTCGCGAGGTTAGATAATAAGGCCCGATTTACAAAAAAAAAAAAAAAAAATAGTGCTAACAAATACTTACTTGATGGCGACATGCCCATCATGCTTTCGTGGAAGCGCCGCTGGCTTTCGCTGTGGCTGCTCTGCTGTGACATGGTCAGATCCTCCGGGTCGTCAAAGTCTTCGCCATCGACTCCGGATCGCATTTCCAGTTTCATGCTGCCGTCGTTTCGTCGAGTGCCGGTCGGCGAGGCCCTTGCCCGTAGCTCCGAGGGGGAAATCTTGACTCCGGCCTTGGCCAGCAGACGGGAGGCAAGATCTGGATCGAAGGGACTAGGCATGGGTAGCACCGGCAGGTCCTTCGTGGAGATTCCGCGATGCTGACGGGACATGTGCGAGTGCAGCGAGTTGCGGGACTTGGCAACGGTTCCGCACAGGACGCATCGATAGCCGGGACAAACGGTGTGCTTGTCCTCCAGGTGGGTACGCAGCGTGTGGGCCGAGCGGTAGATCTTACCGCACTTGGGACACGGCCGGGGGTCTGTGGCGCGAACTCGCATTTCTAAAGAACGGCGAGAGACTGCAATCAGAGGCGTGGTAGAAAAGAAAAGAGAGATGGTCGCAAATGATAAAAAACATAATCAAACTAAAGGCAATAACGATGGATGTCGAGAGAGAGAGAGAGAGAGAGAGAGAGAGCGAGACAGACAGAGAGGTGTGCTCTCGTGTTTCCAAAAGTACATGTGTGATTTGGTGGTGGTTGTGGCTCTGAAGGGTGTGTGTGTGTGTGTGGGTGTGCGTAAGTTTGTTGTTTGTTTTCGGGTTAGTTTTACGGGGTTACAGGTTAGTGAGAGAATTGACAAAAGATACAACCACTGCTTTGTAAATTTGCTTGTTTTTATTTTCTTTCTTTTCCTCTCTTTCTCAGAAACGTGAGTTATTTCTTCTTCTTCTTCTCTCTTTTCAGCTTCAAATACAAAACTAAACTTTACAGTTTCTGTTTACAATTTTCTTATGCTTTTGTTGTTGTTGTTGTTTTTTGTTTTGCTGCTATGTTGTTTCTGTTTTATATTCGGTATAATATGGCGTTTAGCATATACTGTTGTGTGTTCTGTTTTCGTCAAACATTGTTTTTTTTTATGTTGGGTATTAAAGCAGTTGTTTGGTTATTTGTTCGCTTGCGTATTGGTTTTCTATTGCGAATTGCATTTTAGTTTTGTTTTCGTTTTGGTAGCCGTCAAATCAACAGCAAGCGCATGGCCTACTGAACCTGGGAACTTAATGGACACTAACTGTATACTTTGTCAAAGTTTCTTCAACTTATGGCGAGTTTCATTTTCCTTAATTTGAAATCATTCAGTGGGTGGGTGTTTCCTAACTAAGAAGAAATCTAATACTTATCATTGTTTTTTTTTTCGCTAGAAATTAAATTACTCTATCCTAAAACTAACAGTTAGCATCATTTGTATGTAGCTTTCGCGTTTTGCCAGAGAAAAAAGCGAAATCAACTGCGAGGTGGGTAAAACGCTCCATCGCTCTGTACCTTATCAATGTTGGGTCGACATCTTTGATGCGAACGAAATGAATCGGCAAGCGACGACGACGAAAAATTAGACTCAGGTATCTAATAATAGCAATAACTTTCCGAGGCTGGTGAAAAATACGGTACTAATTATGAGGAAGGTGGCAGAAGGGGAGAACTACAATTAGTGGGGCGCGAAAATTAGCAAAGGTGTGGCGGCGATAAATAATTTTGTTTGCCAGAGACCAGAAACAGTGGAATCAGAAGTATGGCGGCAAAACCTAGGAAGGAAGCAATACGGAACTGCGGTTGCTGCTAGCCTGGTTGTCAGCCTATTTACTTGTTGTTACCTTGTTTTAATATGTTTATTGTTCGCGACAACTGGCCTACTGTGTTGTTGCTCTTATTCTGGTATTTTTTTTTTTCGTTTATATAACTCTACGCACTTGGTTTATTCATATTAATATGTTTATTTGTTTTTGCATAAATATACAGTTTAGTTTTTCTTTTGTTCAATATATAGTCAATTACATTATAGGAACCTTTTTAGAATGTCTAAAAATAGAAAATTATTCAACTTTTCTCTAGAGTCCGGCTAGCTGCTTGACCTCTCTCGAATCACTCCAAACAGAACGATTACACATTTAAAAGTGAAGGAATCATAATTAGTAGAACTGCTTTTGCTCGCTCTGTTGCCGCAAGTAGCAACCTATCTATAAAAGTGAAGATAAACAAACTATCTGCTGTTCTGTCACTAGTAGCTTTGAACGATCTTAAGGAATCATGTCAGGTTCGGGGAGTAGTTTGCAATAAATAAATCTGACGTTTTGGCTGCGTGCGCTGCTGTTTACAAACACAAACAATAATACTGATTCAGAAAACGTTTCCTCCGCATGGAACAATCAATATAACCCATATAAAAATGGAAAGCTTTTACGCTAACTAATTTTGTTTCTTACTCTGAACAGGCCCGTCTAGAAACCTGCTATTGTATTACGCTAAAATACGAGACTAGAAATAAGAAGGAAAATGAATTCATTAAATCACACACAACTTCAACACTGTTTTGAACAACTGCTTTGCGACTTTCCGTTTTCTTCCGAAAAAGCCGAAAAAAGGGTTCGTGACACTCGGAAGTTTCTTCCATATGCGAGTGCGTCACTGTTAAACTGTTTTTCTTTCTTTCTCTGGTTTTTGAATAGTTAGGAACTTTAGTATACGCCGCGTGATTTCACGCGGTACAGAAAACACGGTAGTGGAGACAAATGCACAGTGAGGAATGTTTCCGTTTTAGTTGATAAAGCTTCGCTACCGAATTAGGAATTAGCTGTCTCCACTGTTGTCCACAGCCGGCGCGGGAGCCGGCGAGGTTCAAGGAATCCCGGTAAAAGGACCACCGGAGGAGCGCATGGCCTTCATCTTAGCCCACTGGCTGGTGTGTTTCAGGCGCATGTGATTCCGAACGGAGTTGGGATGAGCAAACCGGCGGCCACACTGGATGACCGGACAGACCGGACTGTCGCGAGGGTAGTGACGATCCAGGTGCTGTCTAAAGACACGAGGTTCTAGGGGAACTTCACACAGCGGACAGGGTAGGAGATAGACCTGTCCCGTGCTGCTATTGTTATTGTAGGCGAACAGGTTGGTTCGGTCGTTCTGCTGTTGTTGGGATTGTTTCTGTGGCTTTCCACCGTCATGCGAGAAGCTATTGTTTACTGAGCTATTATTTACATTGTTGCTGGTGCCACTTCGGTTAAGGCTACCGATGTTCGAAGCAAACGGGGAGGTTGTAGAGTTGGAGGATTGGTTTGCACAGTTCTGAGGAGTGGACGTGGGAGGCGTTGTCGCTGCGGCTGCGGTCGTCGATAGAAGGAAACCCGCCAGTTGTTGTTGATGCCGCTGGATGTGAGCTTGCAGGCGGGCTTTTTCATTCATAATGTGCTGCTTGAGCGCTAGATCCCGAGAGCCGGACTTGTGGGCGCCAAAGAAATCATTCTGCTCACCACCGTCTCCCAATGCATTCGCATTGCCACTGGCTGCGGCTGCCGCAGCCGCCAATACTCCTGCCGCAGCCAGTTGCTTGTGATAGTCGCTGTCCATGGTCGTCGTGCTTGACATGACGTCCTCCTTCATATCTTCATCCTCCATCCCATCGTCATCTTCATCCTCTTCGTCAAAGCGACTGTCGTTCTCGTCCGGCTCGTACTTTGCACCATCTTGGCCACGCGAACCACCACCCATTCCACCGTCGATTGAGGCACTTGGACAACTGCGTTGCTGCTGCTGCTGCTGTTGTTGATGTTGATGTTGTTGTTGTTGTTGTTGACGATGACGTTGCACTTGATGTTGATGATGTCGTTGTTGCCGTTCGAGGTCGTTCTCCTCGTCGTCGTCGTCGTCGTGAGCTTCCTCTTTTATCAGTGTATCACAATGTTGGCGTGCATCTGCAATCGTGATTTAGGGATTGCAGTGTTAGATGATTTCTGATCGCCCAAAAGTCCGACCCTGATCTGTATTGGTTAATTATTTTTATAAGTGTTTTTTTTTTCGATCAAGCGGAACTGATTTTGCGGCAAAAATTTTGAATACTGATTCTTTGAGCTGATTATCAATTTTTCTCCATTCTATACAATTATGCATCAGTTCTCGATTCTTGCTCTGAAAATGTGAGAATTTTGACAGATTGCTATCTGCTGTGTGCGTACAACCAATTAGTGTTTTTTTTTTTGTTTTGACAATTTTAACAATGTTCGTCTTATTTTTGTTTTTAGTTTCATTCATCCATTTATAAAAATCATTACACATCGATAGAGATCACGGTCGTGTTTGATTATTAATATTTATGTATTTACTAACAGGGATAAAGATGCTTCGGTAGAAAAAAAAAACAAATGACACAAACTAAAACGGTAACTTATGAGGTAATAATGCTTAACAACAATGAAACGAAAATAGAGAGAAGAAGAAAAACTTATCGAAGGACAAAAAACAATAGGCATCGCGCGCAAACAAGGTGGGTGGACTGACTCGATTCGATCAAGTGGTGCATTCAACCGAATAAAACAAAAATCAAATCCAATTACCGTGAGTTTTAATAACTAAAAGTGGATTGGGAAAATTATAACGTAAGAAAAGTAATCAATTTTAAGGTTAGTTTTGTTTCCATTGTACCAATTGGTTCTATCTACACTAGTGTGGTTTGAAAAGAAATTTAGTTTTGCATTTGAGTCACGAAGCCCGCTCTGTTTTTTCTTCGATGGTTTTTCTTCCGGATTGGGATTTTTTTCTGAATTTTGTTGGTTTTGATTGGGTGATTGTGGTTTTTTTTGGCTATGGCTGATTTTTTGACTGGTTTATGGATTTTTTTTTGGTCCATTGGATGGTGGGTGTCAAACTCAAATTTGGTAGGATGTGAATGTGAATTGAGCGTGAGTGAAAATGGAAACGATAAGAACTGAAAAGTTTGAAAAATGAAGCTACAGAAATGTAATGAAACTAAACGTTGGTGGGTTTCTTTTGCTAAGTAAATATTAATAATTATTTGCTTTGAACAATCAGAAATCATTAACACTGACGGTTAAATAAGAGAAAATTTGTTTGGTTATTGGCATTATAATGGGTTGCAAAAATCTGCATCTTTGCACGATAGTGCGCGAAAGCCTGTCGCTAGTTTAAGATTGAAAGAAAACACAGGAAATTAGGAAATTCGAACAAACGGGCAATCACATCAGCTGATGATGGTTTATCAGAAAAACTATAGGAAATCAAATTTCAACTCTCACTCAGTGTGGACAGTACAAACAAAATACTATTAAATAAATTCTATTCTAAGCGCGCACAGCAAGTATGATGACACTGGCAGGAGGTCAGAAGGGGAAGAGATTAAATAATTGGAATACTCAAAATGAAAACTCGATTACATTGGATGATAGTGTCACTCGACGCTGATGGTGTAATAATTGTTGTCATTACTGACACCAGATGTCGTTTGGGTTTTGCGATACTTGGATTTGAATAACCATCGGGTCGGATGTTTAGGTGTGATGTATAGCGAGAGA